GACTAAAGTAGAAAAACACTATTTTTATACACAAAACTATTTAACAAATGAAACTAATTAAACGATTTGAATTTTTTTTAGGAACTGGCAACTGTGTCATTATGCTTTTTAAACTGATTAATATAATCTAAAAGGATCAAGGAAAAGGTCATAGGTTTTTAGGTTTATGATTTTAGTTTCGTATTTTAATCTAGCTAGACTCTATCTACATTCCAATAGACTTGTTTGAGGATAACATAAACATAATAATAATGAAAAGGGTAATAAATAACATGCGGATGGCACAAAGGATATAAATGTTAAACCCTATGAAGTGCTTGTATCATATATTCGTTTACATTATTAAGAAATTAGAAATTTCAACTAGTAATCACTATTCTTGTTTAACGCAGAAAACATGTAACATAAATGGCAGTATTATATATAAAACATGAGGAATATTCCTTAAATTATAATAAAATTATGTACACAAAGTAACATTAAACATATAAAAGATAAATAAATGAATTGACATAAATAAATTTTGCTTACGTTAAGGGAACTAATAGCTACATTTTGCCACACTTTGGAGTATATCTAACGCCTAATGGATTATTATGGAGATCAATAATTCAATGGAATGGACTTGAGTGCCGATATTGAGGAAAAGGTATATATTACGCGATCGCCTGCCGAAAGTGCCAATATGATATAGTGGAACCTTTTATCGTTGCTTTTGGGGTAGTGTTGCTGTGATACAAACGAGGGTAGATAAGAGGAATCCGTATTCTCATATTATAAAGGGTGCGTGAAATTTTGCAGATACGTTGCACCCAATGGGCATGGGATGATCCGGTGATATTAAGGCTCCTTTGTGACCTTTCGGGGAACCCTTATCCAAATACGTTTCTTATGTACCTCGAAAAGGCACGGCGTATCTAGTAAAATAGTGTATTACTTCTTTTTAAACTTTCAACGTGGTTCTATGTTATGTTATTTATGTAAGAAATATTTTGTTAAGAGTGAAATTATATTTTAACTGATAGTATTTTACGCTTTGTAATGATTTTTTAATTTAATAGTCCAATACGGTAACTGTATTTGAATATGTTAGAAATTTCCTGATATAAATCTAGAATAATTCTACGATAGAGTTCTAGATAAAAATATATACGTAAAAACAAATCTCCGTTTGCAAAACAACATGGCATTAACAAATTTACAAATTTGCAAAAAACGAATTTACAACCTCACAGAAGACCGACGTGATGTAGAAATTTTACACTTGTGCGTTTCGTCTGGTGAGTGAGGTAGCCGGAGCCCACTTTATTTAAAGGTGGCAACGTACATGCAAACCTACGGGTATTGCAAATGTGCATGGGCGGCGGTTATCACTTAACATCAGGTGAACCCCCTGATGTTAAGTGCTGTGCAATTTGTCACACAAAAAAAAACGCTGCTATATTGCTGTATTTAATTATCCATATATGGTAAATGAACATTTTTGAAGCGTCGTTACGGATACAAATGACGTATTCATTACTTTGAAATAAAGTGACAGTGAAAAAGCCCTGTTTATGTCCCCTCGGGACGGTTGGGGTTTCACCGTGTACCCCAAACGCACCAATTAGTGGTAAAGTAAAATTGTGCAGTGGCGGAACCAAGCGTTAGCTGGCCCCAGGAGATTGGGGATCTGTGGTCCCACGTGACATCTAATGGTGTTTCTTTGCTCAGAGGGTGGCGAGTTTTAGTTGCAGATGTACGGCATGTTAAATCAATAAGCGGGGTGTGGGTCTGGCTCAAAAATCGTGAATCTCACTGTTTAAGAACGCACGGTACTAATATAAAATGAAGTGATATGAACTAACCATATGTTTGTAATTTATTAACCAATATATTGGTGAATTGAAACCTTTTTATTTAATCGGCATATGAATTATAAAACTTAAAAAAAAAACATCAAGTGTTCGAAAGTTGTTACAATTTCATTGACCAGATTGAAGCTTTGAATTTATTGCTTTGACAAACGTGTTAATTCAAATAAAGGCGACTATGTAGTCCGTTCAGAATAAAACAATATTGTTCCGTTGGCATAAATCCCCGCGCCATGTCGTTCCATTCAATTTGTCAACAGATTATCTACATCGTGTGAAAGTTTAATCGTTGAAATAAAGAGAAATGTAACGTGTTTTTAAGATAAATCGGCATTAGGGCTAGATTACATTTCACGGTGTCGGTACTTAAGTATATAAATTTCGTATTCGTCATTAATCTCCCGAATTTATTGGATGGTTGGTAGTAAGTAAAACATTTTACCGCACACACCGAAGGCGGCGGACATATTTATTGCCACTAAAGATAAAAAGGAAACCGTAGTGTTGCCAGTTTTTAACATTTTCGGAAAGTTATCCAAATGCTAAGAGCGGTTATGGTTCTTTTCTTAAGTAAGCGTTGAATGAGATGTCCATTATTTTGTTTACAAAGAAATAGTGAGACGTAGAATTTTTGAAATAGATAACCTATTCTTAGAAACTTGAATTTGTGTATAAAAATAACTGCGTAAGTTTTTAGGATTTATTTAGTTTTTTTTTATTTTAGTGTGAAGGATGGATAGAAAGGTTTTTATTTTATCTTTCATTACATGTTATTTATTCCGTTAAAGTTATGGCATATAATAATTGCTTTCGCTAACGCATAATTAATTGATGTAATTAAAATGCGTTAAAATTTAAAGTATTAAATTTATTTAAGTTATTAAAATTTAGTATGGGCGTAGATTCGGGGGCAAAAAATGGATCTAGCTAGGTTTCATTTTTAGAAAATGCCCTTTTATCCCTGTTTTCAGGGAATGAAAAATATAATTCGAATATGACGGTAAATTTCGCCGCTAGAGAAAAAAATGTCATAATAGCTCGGTCGGTAATCGGGCGGCCCCAAAACAGACGGTCGTGGTTCGCGTCACGATCATTTACACATTTATTTTTTTACTTTTTTTTTCGATTCCAGATCATTGCTTTCTTTATTTTAAATTTTTTGTCGATTTGTTATTTTTTTCCCTTTTTTTTTAAAGTTCTTTCTTTTGTGAAAAACATCAATTCATATTTTCTTATTATTACGTCGGTAAGATCAAAAAATATTATGCATATTTCATTACTCAATAATTTGTATCTAAATGTAATTTCCAAAATACACGATTTACCAAAAAAAAAACAAACCGAGGAAAGCTCGGTCCTCCGGTTACTTATAATTAATTGAGTAGGTACCTAATAATGTTTCATTATATATGCGCAATAAACTTTTTACGGCAGTACAATGTTATATGGTAGATTACGAGGAAAGCTTAATGATTTCGACACACTTACAATTTTTCTTAATTATAATTTTTCAAATAATTAATCCTAAAAAGTTTTATTGAGACAACTAGAGGGGACAGTAATCGTGTATGATGAGTCTTCTTATGTACGATAGATTACGAATTTTAATGCTTGCGTAACTTATGTTAAGCATACTTACGACGTGAGAAATTGTTGTTGTATGTATTAACGTATAATCATTTTGAAGACTTATCTCAAACAGACCTGTATCTTATCGTACGTATCATCTTTAATATAAAATAGAATAAATTGAAAAAATAGGCAAATACATTTATTAATAAGATCGTAAGTGACAATAAAGATTCTGCATGTGAATAGTTTGTACGGCAGTTTGCAAAGAGACCTATTTTTATGTGATAAGTTGCCAAGCGAGCAGACGGTTCACCTGATGTTAACATCTACTGCACCCGAAGGTTCCAGATGCGTTGACGACCTTTTGAAAATTGGGCTCCGGCCACGTCAGTCACCAGACGAAACGCGAAAGTATTATACTTCCACTTTACGCCGATCTTCTGTGAGGTCGTGGTACTTACCCGGACGAGCCTGTCCATTCGTGCAACAGCCGAGGCTGCTGCCCTACCTCCGTGGATACCTCACGATTTTTTCCTTCACCGCCGAGTACGTGATGAGCTAACACTTAAAATTAACAAATTCATTGGTGCCAGCAACGGGTATCGAACTTAGGTCACTCGAGTTAAAACTCTCGAGTTAAAAGTCACTTGAGTTAAAAGCGAGCGCCCGGACAGTGAGCTATCACGGCTCCAATATGCAAAACAATACATAAATATATTTGTGCCGTCATAATTGGTCTTATAGCGTGCGGATTAAGTATTTTATTCGTAACTCTATGTAAATTAAACATTAAGTATTCGAAAACGTGACATGTATTGAGTTATCTTTCAGAACCACCTTTGAAAAAGAAAAAAAAAACAATAATAAGTTGGTGTATAGTTTGTGAAAAACTTAAGTTCCTTTTAAGTTCACAAAACAGAAGCAATCTCCTATTAGATTGCTTCTGTTTTGTGAATTCTTCAGTTAAAATTTAAAAATTGCTAGACTATTGGGTGTGAAAAGTTTAGGTGAAATTGCGTCATTCTAACTCAATATACAATATCTGATTACAAATCATGCATATTTGAATAAATTGAAGTCCCTCCCAAAAGATGTTAAGAAAATGGGACTTATAAAAATGAGGAGATGTCATCATCCTAATGAAATGCGAAAACTTTGGGTGCGAAGGAATTGCTATCACTGCGACTTTCCTTATTAGTCACTTTCCTAGTTGAGCGGGAGGGGAAGCCCCTTAATACTGGGATGCCATCAGAAAGGGGGAACACTCCGGTTGTAAAGTAAAAAGATTCCACGGGCGTAATGAGAGCGTTCCGAAACGCCTCAGTGTACCCGGGCCCCGTTTTACGAGGGAAAAGAAAAACTGGCGTAACACCGACCGGTAATATTCGACGTGTTGTTCTTACCGATTCGTAGTTCCTGTGCTCGAAAAATTCCCGACGAGCGATGTACTCATTCCGCTACACAGGTTCAAAATAGTGATGTCTTCGTAACCTATACGATTTCAATCCGATATAGGTTACGACATCAGACATCACTATCAAGATAGTGATGTCTGATGTCGTAACCGATACGATTATGCGACGCGTGCTCGAGGTAGTGACGTCCAATACGTCCGAGTCAGAACAGAAATGTCGATCCGGCTACGGATGCATGGCACTCGGGGGAAATCCAGTGATTCCGGTCGTAAAGCGTGTTCGTATCGCATCGGAAGGCAACGACGCACTCGTTTCGCGGACCGACACGGCGTCGCCGGCGACTGTGATGCAGTTAAGTGCTTTCTGTCCACCCGACTCTGGTGTAAGCAACGTCAGCTGCGACGTCGTAAAGCGCGCAACGAATGGCCGCCCATACGGCGTAAGCACCGTTCCGTCTCCCGATGGTCTATTTTAACGTACCTTTTTTTATCGCGGCCCTATCTGAATCGATTTGAAATTTAATTTGACGGCTCGCCTCCGCTGTATGGAGATGGAATTGCCTTTGGTGTAGGGCGCGTAAAGTCAGATCGGTATGAATGTAACAATACTGCCTTCGTTCTTAACGTACAGGATCCAGTTTAGATATATTGTTTTTTTTAATGGCTTCGGGAAGGAGGATTTCGACGAATTTTGAAAAATTCGTTAGGATAATTTGAACGTTGTAAGTTCACCGATAAGTCTTTATCATATTGTCCAATTTTAATGATTTTTTTTGTCGCAACTTAATTTTAAAGTCTTTGTAACTAGTGGACTTAAATGGTTGTCCTTTACTGTAATGAAATGTTTCAGATTTGATTATATGGAATCAATGGAAAGAAAACTCATTAAGAACCGTAAGCATCGTAATTTTATTAGCAGCGTTTTTTGCAGCTTTTTTAAAAATTCTTTTTGTTTTAGATAAACATGAACTAAAATTGTCCATCTATGATCACATAAATAATAAAAATATGTTAACTTATTTAAAAATGTGTTAAATCATCTTTTTATTATTATATTATTGAAAAATATAATAATACCAATAAAAGCGGGAAAGGACTTGTATCCTTGGTAAAGTAATTCCCTTTATTGTCCGTTTCCGGCAAAAGAAAGCAAAAGAAAAAGAATATCCAAAATCATTCAAATATGGAACTGAATGAAAATGCACGGGCGTACACGCGAGTGCATAAACAATCTTTATTCGTCCTTAGATTCCCGACGCCCGGCGGGAGTTTACGCCGCCATTGTATTTATTTCCCGGTCCAAATTCAATCCAGCCAGTGTTCGTATGCACCGCATGTGGTTCATTGGATAACTGAATTATATCTGTGCGGACGAAAGAGGTCGGGTGCGTTGCGCCTGACCGAAAACTCGTATTTATGTTCGCCCGAACGCGGTGTTACGTTTACAAAACGAAATTTACGTTTTTCTTTGTTCCGTGCGTGCTCGCTTAATGTTTCAAACGTACCGATTTGATGTACTTTCGATTGTTAGTAAAGATGTATCTTTTTGATGTTCCGCAATCATTATTAGCTGAAAACGGAGCGAGACTCTCACGTTGTTTTTAATTTACAATTTTTCAAGTTATACTTTTTTTGGTGCGTTAGGGAAAAATTATGAAAATAAATTTTTACAATGCGCGCGCACACCGTCACGAAAAACCGACACCCTGAAGTTAGCTAGACATCTACGTATGTTTGCGTGAGAACTGACAACTGTATTCACGATCTTTATTTTTTGATTTAAATAAACTTTATTTAACTAGATAATGCGTTACAATCAAACTTTCAATGTATTAAATATACCTTTTTTTTATTGTTACTGTCGTTTTATCTACAAACGTAGAATAAGGCGAAACATAAAATTTTTGAAAAGATTTTTATCTCCTTACGCCAAAGAATTATCTTACGTGCTTTCTGAATATTTCAATCATTCGATAGTTAGACTTTAAAACATTTAAAGATGTCTAAAATTAATTTAATTAATTCTAATTCCTGTACACAAGATGAAACATAAAATTTTCAAAAAATTTACGTCACTACGGGATTTCAAGCTACATCTTCCGAATAACGCCTCCAGAAGTTAAACACAAAATTCACATTTTGTATTAAAAATGTGCTACTTTAAATGAAAAGTTACGTTTTATATTGAACATAGTGCTACTTTAAATGTATGTTTTCACCAACTGGTTTGTGGTTTTATACGAAATTAATATTCAAAAATCTGCTATGCATTACCGTTAGTCGCATTAAATTAATTAATTTCGGATAAAACAATTAATACCGGTATAGTATCAAACGTTACGTATCTTAGAATGATTCAATGATTATTGGGTGAAGTATGACAGCGGTTGATTATTTTTATGTATTTTTACATTTAGAGCCATGTTTAAAAATGAATTATTGTCCATGTAATTATTTCGTTAAGGAAAAGCGTTTAATCACGAGTCGGCGGGGCTCCGTTGTGAGGTCAGTGTCGGCGCCCCGTAGCGTCATATTGGAGTTTTCTTTATGATATGCAATTTATTAACAACTTCATCACCGTAATATTCATTTAGAAACTGATAAATGAGGTCCATTGTTATCGTAGCCGTACCGTTTGTACCTTTATTTCTTGGTAGTTGATGAATGGATAAGACTATCTCTACAAAAATGAAAAAAAATAAATTCCTATAGAGCATCATAATTGTAACTGGTAAATTATGTATTCATGCGGTTTTCATAACTTTTAATTTTTGTTTTGATACTTCGATCAATTGTCCGAAACGTTGGTACTTGCTTATTAAAAAATAAAAGCGACTAAAACCTAAGCGATTAACAGTTTGTCTGCTATGTTAAAATGACTACTATTATTTCCTAGGCGTTTTTATATGATTTATTCCAATTTTATGTCAAAGTTTGTAATTGATAAAATATAAATAAGACACTGAACTGGTCACATTCTCCAGAGTAGAGGTTCGTAAGATACTACATCAAAGGAGTTGAACAGTTTTCAAGCGTCAGTTTTCCCGTCCGTATTATGCAAGTGTCTTCAAGAAAAGAATGAATAGGCGTTTCTGAGATATTGCATTTACCATCTAAGATTACATCTTGGCTTACCACCAGAGAAGGCAATCGAAAACTGGCCGTTTGGGTTAAAAAAATCCATTCAAAGGCCCAGGGCGTTTACTATTAAGACTAAATCGTAACTTAGCCTCAGACAAGTATGGGCCGGTTGATGATATATTTATTTTTGTTTTGAAGGAAAGGCAATTACCTCAAGTGACGCTCTCCAATTGACAGGTGCGACAGCGAATATGTTGTAGGCACGTTCAATGTGGATCTTCGGTAATCTCTCCCACTAGTTTTAGGGCCTCGCGGGTGACAAGTTGTACTCAAACTTCAATAAGCTCAAGCCCTTGGTCCGAGATGATTTAATTTTTCACTAAAGAGTGCATGGTCCTAAATGGCATGCTGTAAGTCAGATGCCTAATACTTTTAATGGGAGAACCTATAAAAAATGAGTTCTACCTTTTTCGTGTAAAACCACTACGACCATTCTTAGGTATTAGTTATATTAAAAATCATACAAGATTAAGTAAAGCCTGACTATAAAATCACTCTCCAAAAGCGCCAATATAGACATTAATTTATTTACATCCATAGAGTCGAAATGTTCATAACACAAATATTTTTAACTATGATATAATGATGTGGCAAGGTTTTAATGTTTAGATTACAACATTAATAATATACGCATGTGTTTTTAAGTTTACCAACCGGTCCTATCGTCTACAGTTATATGTGTGTAATTCTCATTAGCTGCAATTAAGGAACTTTGATAATTTATCACGACAATTAAAGTAGGTAGAAATGATAATGACTGTTATATATCATAAATAAGATATTTATTTCTCTTTAAAATTTATTCAATAGAATAAATAATATTAAAACATTTTTATTAAGCCCTTTTTTTGGAATGCAAACGTTTTATAGTTTATTTGTATATATTTGTAATACTGTGCTGCTTTTAGAACGCGTAAATGCACATTTTTTTTTAAATAAAGTATCCTGTGAGCGGAAATAACAAGAATAAAGCAAAGCTTTGTCAACGTTTTCCACACGCTCATTTCTATTCGGAGCTTTATCAGTATGAGACGCTCTTTGAATGTATGCAATGTACGGATTATTCTCGAAAAACATGTTAATTTAAAAATATCATCTATTGTAATTAAGTAATTTATTCATTGAACAATATATTTGATAACTAAAATAATATATAATATATGTAATTTTAAGAAGTAGACCTATAAAAAAGTAAAGTTCTATTAAATTTATTAGCAATCTATTGATTTTATTTATTTACTCATTAAAGGGTTTGCCTTTAAAAAGAATCTTCCTCTGTCTCCCTCTTCTGCTGTCTCACTCTCTCCTTGAGTTGGTCTATATGATTAAAAACATTAATCAGAGCTTGTTAAATAAAAGAATAGACAAGATTAATAGGTGAAGCAGCAAGAACCGGCGCACGAAATTCAAATGTTCCAGTATTCTACAAAGTTACGAAAAAAGGCTGGCGTCGTCTCTGTCGGCGGTGGTAGCGAGATGAATTCAAGAAGTCACCCAATTTTCTCTTTATGACGCGCCATGGAGAGAGCGCATATTAGGTGAGTGGGGTGTCCACGTTTCCGTATTCAAGATTGCCAGTGATCGTTTTGTCTTCTTTGGTCATTACTTTATGGCCACCCCATGCGTCAAATGTAAGACATTTTATCTGACCTTATTTACTTTGAAATATGTTTAGTTAAAAGTATGTAGAATTTTTAAAAAGGAAGGACTATTATTACGGCACCACGCTGCTTTGGATGCATATAATTTTTTTGTTTATATAAGTTAAGAAATTACTATATTCGTAACCAATACAAATATTTAAATTTATATAAATAATAACATATCAATTTTAGATAGTCTTGGGTTAACAGAAATCATTGTCACATCAAGGACGAAAGATTAAATGTTTTCCTTCTGAATTTTTGTTTTGCTAAGATATGGAAGAATTATATGTAAAATTTACATAAACAGTCTTACAGAAGAAATATTGTGTAACATTGCTCTGACCTCACTTTGTACACTCTCTTCATTGAATTTTCTTCATTCATTTTTTCTGTTTTAAGAAATACATTCAGTTTCAATCTAATACCGCTAACAGTTGCCGCGTGTTTATGACGTAAGTACCTCGTTTCCAGTGCTGCTTTAAGTAATAGTCAAATTTTGGGAAAATGTAGTCGGGAGCAAATTTTAGTGACGTTTTGAAAAACGTAAATTAAATTAAGACTATTTAAAGCGACACTTTAGAATTCAAACACAACACCGCAACCTTCAGAAGCTATTTTTATATATGTACTCTCCCCAACTAAATCTAAAAACTCGCTTCGGCTAATTTTCATTTTTAGAGGGGTGG